TTTTTTTTTTTTTTTTTTGCTTCTGTTCTACAAATAAATTAAGAAACAAACTAGAAAATTGCCCACACCGTCTCAGTCTTTGGGTGTGGGGTGGGCCCTGTCCCCGCAGGGCCGAAAGGGTCCGTGTTCCCTCGGATCCCAGGGCAGCTCTGGCCCTGGGCCGGCAGCAGCAGGGAAGCTGTGACCTTTTGGCAGGCTCAGTCCTGCAGCTGCCCCGAGCAGCCAGACTGTCCTTGGGGCTCGTCCAGGACAGGAGGGGAGGTGTCTGGCCGGTCTTGGCAGGGAGGCCTCTCTGGGGAGGGGGCCAGGCAGGCATTTACCAGCTGCATGATCTCTTGCACCTAGGATAGGACAGGGGTCAGTGCTTAACGGAGCCCCGGCTGCTCTCTCCTGTGCTGTCCCTAGCTTGTCAGCTGCTCTACCGCTGAATCCTTATCCACATTCTCTCCTCTGCCTGCTGTGTGCCAGCTTTCTAGCTTTTAAGGCATGGTCTCACTTTGTAAATTGGTCTTCAACTTGGGATCCTCTTGCCTCAGCCTCCTGAGTGCTGGGATTACAGGCTTGCACAGGGCTCCACCATGCCAAATTTCTCTCTGTCCTGGCCTCTGCACTGGAAATTCCCTCTTCCTGGAATGCAGTTCCCCCAGCTCCCCCTCAGACTAGCTCAATGTCACCCCTTTGGGACTCCTTCCTGACTACCTAAGGGGCCCACCAGCCACTTCCTCAGCAGTCTTTTTTTTTTTTGTCTTGGAGGCTGGTCTTGCGATGTGTTCTAGGCTGGCCTTGAATTCCCTCTTCCTGCCTCAGCCTCCCAAGTGCTAGGATCACAGGCATGTGCTGCCACACCTGGCTTATCCTCGGGTAGTCTTCATTCCTCTTTTACTGTCTGGCTCCCCATCTCTTTGCGCTTTGTCATTGCTGGGTCCCAGCGCCTCCAACTGTACCTGGGGTCCACGCAATCCATGAGCTCCCCCTCACCTGCGGGCTCTGCAGGAGGAGCTGGCTGTCCCCGACCCTCAGCGCCAGGGTGTGAGGGCCCATCAGCTGGCAGGCGGCCACATGGCCGTAGCTGACACTGTGGATGGGTTCCATGTCCCCAGGCCGGGAGAGGGACAGGGCCTTGGCTCCCAGGCCCAGGCACAGCTTCTGTGGAGTGCCTCTGCCAGGCTCCTGCGGGGCAGGACAGGGTCCATTGGAGCAGCCCTGGGGTTCACTCTGGAGCAGGGGGTGGCAGTAGAGGGTGGCCTGAGGCTGTGTCTCTTGGGATGGAGGGGTGGCCTTGCTGAATGGGGGATGGAGGTGCCCCCCACGGCCCAAGGCGGAGGTGTGGGGCTCCAGCCGCCAGAGTCCCCTTCTCCCTTCTCCCCTCACCGTGCTCAGCTCCAGAACGTCATACCGAGCCGCGCTGAGCCCCGGACACTGTGCTGCCAACGCCAGGTAGGCAGCCATGGCCTCAGCTCGGCCCAGTCCCCGCATCACTTGTTTCTTCTTTCTTTAAACAATTTCTATGCATAGTCATTGTACTCGTCAAAACCCTGTTGTTTCTTTTTGTTGTTGTTATTTTTCTAGGTTTTGATATCAGTATTTCACAGACTAATAAAAGCAGAGTGAGTATTTTCTATGTTCTATGAGCTGAAACAGAACAGCAGTATATGTTCTCCGACACAGTTTGCTGGCTGGCCGGCTTGTGTCCGTTTCTAAGGAGGCTATTCGGCGACGAATGAAAAGCGGGCTCACCTTTGGGGGCGTGTGGAGATGCGGATGCCCTGAGCCTCACCTGCTCAAAGAGAAACGGCAGCTGCCCACCATCAGGGGACAGGCCCTCGGGGTGCAGAGGTCCGTGCAGGCGCAGACACAGCCTCCACCCTGGGTCTGGGGAGTCCTCGGGCCCTGCTTCCTGGGCCGCCACACTATGGGAGGAGGGAAGGATGTGAGGGAAGGGGTGAGCGACAGGGCGCAGGCGGGGCACAAAGCACCAAGGGACTGCGGAGCGGAGGGCAAGGGTGGGCCGGACATTTACTTCTCAAACCTGGTGAGCACGTCGGCCACGATGGTGCCCCCAGCCAGCGCACGCTCCTGGGTCCCGCGCTGCTCGTACAGGGTGAATGCGTTGCGGCTCCATGCCAAACCCAGCCGCCCCACCAGCTCCCGAGCCACCTGCAGGAGTGCAGGGGACAGGGGTCATCAGATCCCGGGGAAAGGGCTCAGTCCCTCACTCCTGCTTTCTCCAGTACCAAAATAAGAAATCTGGGATGGGCGAACCAGGCCTAGGGAGCCAGGCCTTAGAGTGGGAAGGACAGCAGGGAAGTGGGCTGTCCCCTCACCTCGCCCGCGGTTGTGTGGGAGTGGATGGCCACTGGGCAGGCCCCGGCGCCAGGACAGTGCACGGTGCACAGCAGCTTCTGCCGCCGGCTCAGGGCAGCGATCTCCGCCAGGGACGGCACCAGCTCACGGCTGCGTGTGCAACCAAGCGCCCTGCGGATGAAGCGTGCGTATTCTGCCAGCTCCGAGTCAGGGAGTGCCTGCTCCGTCCTGGGCCGGGAGGAGTCCACAGATCAATCCTCCCTCTGGCCTTCTGGGGCCAGTTTCCTCCCCTTCAACTCAGTCCCTTGAAGGTGGCTTCAATCAGCACGGCTCTTTCCCAACTACCCTGACCCACTAGCGGTCTATTGGTGGCCTTCTAGATCCCAAATCCAGCCACGTGGCCAAATTTTCCCAAGCCCTGGGCTGATCCCCATCCCCCAGGAGAAGCACCTCTTAACAGCCCCTCAGCCCAGGGTGCCTTATCTTAATTTGTCTGCTCACAACTGGTCGTGATTGTGTAAGTACCCGCCCCCCCCAGCTGGCTCCGCTCACATCAGCCCTGACCAGGCAAGTCCCAGCCATGCTTCCCCTCCCCGCCCTGAGGCTCCTTTGCTCGGCTCTGCACCTGCTCTTCTCACCTCTCCAAGTGCCCCAGGAGATGGCCCCGGACAGTGCCCCCGGGCCGGAAGGTGCAGCTCATGCAGGTGAGAAGCTGCCAGTACCGAAGGGCAGAGGGGTCTTGCGCAGCAGGGAGCCCTGGGGGACCTGCAGGGCCTGAGGTCTGCTTAGCCAGCTGCAGGAAGAGCTCATCCTGCAGCGCGGGCAGGTCCCTGCAGGTTTGCAGCACACCCTGCATCAGGAGCCCAGGCCGACGGGCCCCCTCCAGAGCCTGTAGCGCCAGGAACAGCCTCACCGCCTCCTCTCGCAGGGGTGCGTAGCCCGGACCTATGGGACGGTGGGGGCGGAGGGACGGTTTGGAGAGGGGACACAGAGCTGCACCCTGCAGGGGAAGGCACATCCAGGGAGCAGGTCAGAGGGACGGCAAGGAGGGGAGAGGTGAAGGACAGGGAGAGTGAAGGGAAAGCAATGGTCCCACAGAGCCAGGCCCGAGCCAGAGCCCCTCCGTTCTGTTGAGCCTCAGGGAAGAAAGAAGGGCCCAGATGCAGAAAGCAGGCTGGCATGGGAGTCAGAAAACCAGGGTTCAGCTCCCAGCCCCTCAGCATCCTCAAGCTTTGGGACATGGCCAGCCACTAGGCAACTCTGGGGACAAATATAGCTAGAAGAGACTACAGTTCAACCCAAAGTCAGAGTGCCATCTTTCCTACACCTATGCAGGGGAGATGATGTGGTCTTGAGTGTAATGAAAAACAGCCAGGTGTGGCGGTTCCCACCTGTAATCCCAGCACTCTGGGAAGCTGAGGCAGGAGGACTGCAAGTTTGAGCCTAACCTGGGCAATTTAGGGAGATCCTGTCTCCCTAAATAAAAGGGGAGTGGGCCGATTTAGCTCAGTGCTGCCACTGCCTGCCTAGCAAGCATGTGGTCCCAAGTTCAATCCCTGGTACCAAAAAAGTAAATAAATAAAATAAAAAGGGGGGGT